GCTGGACCTATTGGCTTTATCTGCAAAACATAACCATGAATAACACCAGCTAATCTATCTCATGTATGGATTGCAAGCATCACAAATAATTAGACATTTTTATTGGTATATTGTTATAAAATTATTTTTTTCTTTTATCACTATAATGTTATTAATAATAAACATATTTTACAGTTACATGATGTAAACTGTATTATGTAACAGCATATTGAGTAAGAATGTTGAATGCAAGTCTTTTATTAAATTTATAACATGCAACAGTAGCGTATGACAAGAGTGGCTAGCCGATGACTCGCCACACAGCAAAAAACATAACGCTAAAATAACGGTTAGATAACAGTAACTGAAAATTTTGGCGATATGTTCACCGTTATGTTAGCGTTATGTTAAGTTTAAAGGTTGGTTTCCATATATTTAAAATAGTCGAACGACAGTCTTGCGACTGTCGCAAGACTGTCGCAAGACTGTCGCAAGACCATATGGAAACATAAGTCGTGCGACAAGTTTTATCTTGCAAGACTGTTTTATAGTCGTCCCATAGGTGTCGCAAAAATAGAAAAAATTCTATCTCTACGACAATTGTCGCACGACCCAACAATGCGATTGGTTGAATATTAGAAAACAAAATATAAATTAAAACAAAAAAAAATTCACATTGAAATAAAATGGAAAATAATCAGGAAAGATTTACAAAAGAATTTAGTTAAGAGAGTTTCATGCAGGAAGTGCAGAAATATCCTGTACTGTATGACAAATTCGATACAGAATTTAAGAACAATGTTATTAAAAAAATGCTCGGGCAGCAATAGGAGTTTTGTTTGGTTTAACTGACCAAGAGTGTGAATCGAAATACACAAACATTAGGTTGGCTTATGGTCGCTTTTTGAGGAAAAAAAAAAAGTACACCTTCAGGATCAGGACGAATCAATATCAGTTAAATGTGTACATTGATCATAGAGATACGACGACGAATCTTGGAGATAAAACAGCAATAGAGATTCAAAACAACAATAACAGAGATATAATAAAAAATGTTGAAGAATTACCTTTGTCATGTATAAGTGATGAAAATATAAATTATGATGAAGAATTTAGTAATCAGGAAGAATTAGAAAAAGAAACTTTAAATGATAATACAAGTGTGTAAACTTTGTCTAATACATGTAGGTCAAGTACATCTAGTAATCAACAAAAATCTTTAAATGAAATAACATCTCCAATGAATATAAGAAAAAAGAACTTAAAAAGATCTAATGAAAATACAAAACTAGAAGGTGCAATACTCACTACTATGAGCAATATTAATGCAACATTAGGAGTTAGTGCACTTGAAGAAAATAATGACATTACATATTTTTGTAAATCTATTTGTGCAACAATAAAGAGATATTGTATGGTTGATTTCCATAAAGTCGACAACTGTCGCGCAACAAGTTTTGTAATATTTGTCGCACGACTCAGCTGTTTCCATTAATTTTAGAAGCATTTTTAAAACAATAAAAACAAAGCAGTAGCAAGGCCGGCGCGATAGGGGGGTGTGTCACCCCCCCCCCCCCATCAATGATTTTTAGTCGGCAAACTGAACCCTTAGTCGGCAAATTGGACCGTTTTAGACTAGTTAGTCGGCAAATGTCGACCCTTGCGATATAGGTTAGACAGTCGGTAAATGTCGACAGGACAGTCGTCAAATTTTGGAAAATGAGGCCTATTTTTTTTTTTTTTTTGGTAAAAGTTGTAATGACACCCCCCCCCCTCCATGTGACACCGGCCCTGAGCAGTGGCTATGCTCCGCATGACCTAATTGGGGAAAGGCCCAGCGATTATAGGGGCCTTTTTTGAAATTTCTAAGGGCTTATTACAAAAATCAAGGAACTTTTTCTTTAAGTAACACATAATAACAGGGTATTTTCAAAATTTTTTAGCCCTAATGACATGTTTTGGGGAGAGCCTCTGATTCACTAGCCACAACACTGGTTGTAAATTCGTTCTTAATTGTAAATGCGTTCTTAATAAGTTTTTTTTTTTTAATAATTAAACTAAAAAAATTTTTGTAAAAAAAAAATTATTTCTCATAATTACTTTTATTAGTTTATGCCTAAGTAAAAAGTGTATTAAAAAAATGTTAAAAATACTGATTATGTAATAAAGACTGTCATTATTTTATTTTTATAAATATTGTTGTATTATTTTATTTGTAGGATTGTAGTTTTACAAAAAATTATTTTAAAGTAAAAAGTTAAAAATGTCTACTGCATAAAACTTAGATTCAACTTATTGTTGTAAATATACAGGATTCCCAACACTTTATTCTAGCCAAAAAAAAATTTTTTTTTTTTCAGCTTAAATTTTTTCCTTAACTTTAACTAACTTGATTTTATCTCAATTTAGTAATAGCTAAAATAATATTAAATATATATATATATATATATATATATATATATATATATATATATATATATATATATATATATATATATATATATATATATATATCCCTATGAGCAAAATGAGCTCTCTCTGTGACAAAGTCCATTCAATTTAAAAATGTTCAATTTTTAAAACAACATATTAGAGGTCCGCTTATAAATTTGACCAATGGACCACAATATACATCAGTAAAATTTGAAACTTTCACATTAAAATGTAGTATTCCTAACAACTGCTTTATGACCAACGAAAATGAGGTTTTTGTATTGGAGAATATTGCTCGATGAACAGGAAATTATCAACATATTCTGATTGCAAGAAAATTTACTAGACTTCTTGATTTATATAAATTTCCGTGTAGATCCTCAAACCTAAATATTTATATAGCCATGAACTTGGGCCCATTGCAGATTGTCCGATTGCAAAATGTGAAAGGCAAATGTGTAAAACTTAAAAATGATGACAATTCATTTGCAATTTTTCCATTAATACATTGCTCATATTAAACAACTTAAATTCATCAAAATTTTGGCATGTTATATATATTTCTTTATGTATATATAATATATATATATATATATATATATATATATATATATATATATATATATATATATATATATATATATATATATATATATATAGATAGATAGATAGATAGATAGATAAAGATGTATTTGTGTCCACATTTTGGTATCCCCATTTGACCATATTAAAATAATTAACTTTTATTGTATTATTAACTTATTATATATATATATATATATATATATATATATATATATATATATATATATATATATATATATATATATATATATATATATATATATATATATATATATATATATATATATATAGATAGATAGATAGATAGATAGATAAAGATGTATTTGTGTCCACATTTTGGTATCCCCATTTGACCATATTAAAATAATTAACTTTTATTGTATTATTAACTTATTTTATATATATATATATATATATATATATATATATATATACAGTGGTGTACAGTAGATTTTTTAGATGATTGAATTTTGATACTTACAGGCATTGTGCAAACTCCAAACTTTTGTATGTTGATGCTTATGTCAAATAAGTATGTTTTGAAAAGAGTTGTGGTGATTGGAGCTTGGGGACCAATTTTTGGGCCCTCCCAGCTCTTAACGTGGGAGTAACAAGTTTATAAAATAATTTTCTAAGTATTTTTATCTAAGTTTATCTAAATTTCATGCAATAATCTGTTAGGGTTTAGTTCTTATGTCCGTACAAAGTTTACAGTTCCCTCAAATTGAGGGGGGTTAAAACTTCATCAACAAGTTTTAATTTTTATGCAATAATCTCTTAGGGTTCAGTTCTTATGTCCGTACAAAGTTTACAGCCCCCTCAAATTGAGGAGGTTAAAACTTTATATGGTCATAGTTTTTGAAATATAAGAGATTATTGCATGAAATTTGAAGTTTATTGATGAATATAAACTTATATAAAAATACTAGAGAAAATAATTTATAAACGTGTTACTCCAACATTAAGGGCTGGGTGGGCCCAAAAATTGTTTTTTTTTTGTCCCTAAGCTCCAATAACCGCAACTCTTTGCAAAACATTCTCATTTGACATAATCATCAACATAGAAAAGTTTAGAGTTTGCACAATGGTGTAAGTGTCAAAATTCAAACATCTATAAATCCACTGTACACCACTGATATATATATATACATATATATATATATATATATATATATGTACACCACATATATATATATATACATATATATATACATATATATATATACATATATATATATATACATATATATATATACATATATATATATATATATATATATATATATATATATATATATATATATATATATATATATATATATATACATATAAATATAGAGATCTATAACTCTAGTGTCAATATTTAACCATTGATTTGTCATTTGTTACATTATAGAATACATTAAATGATATATATAATTTATATATAAGATATAATATATCATAAAATGTATCATATATAAATCATATATATATATATAATACATTGTATTATATATATATATATATATATATATATATATATATATATATATATATATATATATATATATATATATATATATATATATATATATATATATATATATATATATATATATATATATATATATATACACAGGTCTTGTCATAAAGAAAATTAAAAAGCGTGATGTTTCACTTCTGTAAAACTTAAATATTTTTTATAATATAATATTCAAAATATATTTTATTTAAAAGATTTATTTCCTAAAATGTCAAACATATATGTTGCATTCCGATTCAAAGCTCCATATCTGCATGCAATGCATGCACCAATGGCCTGGTTAGTAGGAGCTGCAGATTGTTATTGGCCATGCGACTTAACAGAGGAAGAAGAAGAGGATATGATTGATATAATTTTGATAAGGATATAATTTTGATAAGGATATGATTGATATAATTTTGATAAGGATATAATCAAAAGCAGTTAAATACTATTTAACTGCTTTTGATTATATCCTTATCAAAATTATAAAATTTACCAAAATCAAATGAAAAATTATCTAATGCATTGTATATGAAAATCTACACAGATTTTAAACAAATTCATTTTAAACCTTGGTTTCTATTAACTGTAGAAGTGTTATACAACAGTTGCACAACTTTGTTTTATAATGGAAACATTTTCTAGCGTAAGTTGCACAATTTAACGTCCGTTGTACAAGAATTTATGTTATAAAACAATGGTTGCAGAGATAGAAATGAATCTATTGCCGCAAAAATTGTTGTACAACAAAATTGAACAACTGTTGTACAACATTTCTGCAACTATTGGAAACCGAGCTTAATCAAGTAACTATTGTTGTGAAAACCTGGTTTCAAATTATTTCTGAAAAATTTTATATGCACCCGATAACTATATATTAAAGTTTATAAAAAATATAAACATATTAATAATTGAAACAATAATGGTAATTTTCTAATTTGTATAATGGATATAATATTTTATATTTGTCTACTTATTTATAACAGGATATAATTTTTGCTTGCAGTTTCACTTGCAGAAGCTAGAAGTAAGGTGTTGCTTGATAAGATAAATACATTTGTTGGTAACATAACAACTGAGGACGATGAAGCTCAGCCAAAAAGAAAGATTCGTTTATCAGCAAAAGCTAGGGATTTGCTGCATCATGCTTATTGGGATGAAGAGGAGGAAAATGTTGAGAACAATTTTAGATTGTCTGCAGCACCACCTTTTCCAGCATACAAGCGGAAAAAATCAGTACAAAATTTGGGTAGGTTGAGGTAAAATTTAATATGATGTGTTTAATTTTTAATTGTCACTTAATTTAGTTTAAATAAAACCATTTTAAATACAGTTAATAAAATATATTTTACAACAAATCCATGTTGTTTTTAATTATTAAGAAGAGAAATGATAACATATAGAATTTTTTATACAGTTTTGCTTCTAATATTTAGTAATAATAATTTTAAAACCTGCATTTTGTTTTTATGTTTTATAATAATTGCGATTAAATATAAAAATAATATTGATTTACAGGTAATCAAAAGTCAATGGATACCCACACTGTGAGAGAAAATTATAAAAAACTATTGTTTTCTCCTGAAATCAATTTTTCGGATACTCATGAAAACTCAGTTGACAAACATTTGACTCCCCAAATTGCAAGTGAGTACAACAATGAATCTCCAGAAATTGTTTCTGACCAAATAGGTAATGCAGATAAATAACATTTATTATAGTACTAAAACGTTTTTAGATAAAGGTATACTTTTCATTTTTTAAATTATAAATAGTTACAATTAAGATGCCATTTTGAATAATAAGATGAATAGTAATTATTGCTCTTTATCAGTTTTTTTGTATATATAAAAACTAAAAACTGTTATAGAATAAACAAAAATGAAAATATATATTTTTGTGTTTAAGTGCCTGTTTTGTGACTCAGTGTCAAGTGTTGATGAATTATATTTAATTTAAAAAGCAAATATAAATTTGGTAAATAAAAACTAAAAATATTGTTTTATTTTATTTTTTTTAAAACAAGTTACAAACTCCATTAAATCTTGTGATTGTAAATTGTTTTTTTCAGAATTTACTACTTCTAGATCCCCTATGTTTGGAGATATGTCTCCTTCAGGCAGGAATAGAGAGCAAAGTTCTATAGACAGGGGTATTGGACTTACTTCAACACCAATGACATAGGGGATCTAGAAGTATATATATATATATATATATATATATATATATATATATATATATATATATATATATATATATATATATATATATATATATATATATATATATATATATATATATATATATATATATATATATATATATATATATATATATATATATATATATATATATATATATATATATATATATATATATATATATATATATATATATATATATATATATATATATATATATATATATATATATATATATATATATTGAATTTGAATTTGAATCTGTGTCATAGGAGTTCAAATATAAAAAATATAAAATAGGTTAAAAGCTCAACTGTCTTACATTTTTTCATTACTTTTTTTTTGTTTAGTTGAAGCTGACGCTGAATTTGATGTGTGGTGCAATGGAACATTGGGTAGTTCAAATAGGCACAGAAAAAAAGCCAGCGATATGTCTCAAACAGGTATATAGTGTATATAAGGTCTAGGGTCTGTGTGATCTGACATTGTTTACTTTTTACATAACAAATATACTCTCTCGATTACAACATATACCATTAAAATTAAACCCTTTCACATTGAATAAGAATTAAACTTTTTATTATTGATTTAAAAAATTGATTTAAACATTTCATGATTGCACTACAAAAATACTGAATAATTTTAATTTTTTTAGAGATTAATCAACACATGCTGAATTTTACATATGTAGTCATGGATGCTCTTTATATAAAGAGTGTTCTACAGAATAAAAAACGACCTCTTAAAACAAACATAGATTTTGCAGACAATGATAAGATTGTGGATGACCCAATA